TTATTACAATAGAACCAAAATCAAGAACGCTAATAATCAACTTGGATTTGCAACATATGAGTAACGAGTGCAACTTAAGGCGTTTTTTATTATTGTATTAATATCAAAAATAAAAATAACTGAGACATGTTTCACTAAGTACTTATAACAAATCATTAACGTCCTACTATAGGGCGAGTATCACATACAAGTCTTTACTTAATAAAGACTGCTATAGTACATATATACTATACTTGCTAAGAGATTTACTGTGCCTACACAATATTAAATAAATGAAAAGATCATTCACAAATCCCAGTTTCTTTTATAAATAGAATGATAGATAAATTATATCTAAATCTAAATGCGGTAAAGATAACAAGTAAATGTGGAAAACAACATTAATCATTGTATAAGGCTGCCTCCTCAAAGAAGAGGCTTATTTAAAATCTAATTCACCTATTGACATTTGTATTAAATCCGCATAAAGGTCAGGAACCACTTTATAATCTTGAACGATTACGGCGATTAACGTTACAGAAATATTTAAGAAGATTCTAGCAAGAACAGTTAATATTTTTAACAATCTTCTAAGAAGAAATATGAATATCACCCGTCAAATATCTATTTGTGATGTTATATATTAGTTTTATTACTGCTTTATATAACAATTTTAATTATTCATGCTAGAGATATACGGGAGATCTAGACACTAAAGAATCAGAAAATAAAAGAAAAATATGTAACATATAATAATTGATAACAGTTCCACAGGTACGTTTCCCCATGTAGACATCGTAAAACATTGTTCTGTAATGTATCTAAAAGTTTTATCGTTACTCTATTTATATATACCTATTCAACTATATATTTGTTATGAAAAGCGCATCAGAAATCAAAGGCAAGTCCACAGGATATCATAATAAAGTTGGGGTCAATTGTTTATCTATCCTTCAGGGTTTCTCCTCCGATCGCGCCCTCACTACCTACGGATATTGCAATCTCTGGTAATCTTTGGCTATTTTTTTGGGATTCCACTTACATTATTGGATCTTCATGAAAATGTTAGAATAAATTTATATTCTATGAAACTAAGGCAATTGAGTCGTCACATTAAAAGACAGAAATAATAATTATTTAAATGTCAAAGTCAAATAGCACTATTTTTTTAGTTTAGAAATTACTTGAAAAAAAAAAACAACAGAAGCTTATTCGACAATTTTTTTATGTTTATTACATACCATAGAGTATTATTTTTCTCAAAAATGAATAATTTAATTAACTTAGAATTTAATACTATGTCAATTTGCTATTCATTTTCAATCTGGAACTAACCTGTAAATTGTAATCTGGGCTATAATGTCGTGGAACAAAGGAAACGAAAAGTAAACTAATAAAAATGTTTTAAATGAAAAACTTAGTTGGTTGAATATTTCTAATAATTACTATGTTTCCGAGTTCCCAAGGACCACGTGCCACGGTCCCGGCTCCCGTCCTTGCGCCATTTACATGTAGCCTGGCCAGTAAACCTTGACCATTTGATCTCCTTATTATAAACATAGATATATATAAATAGCCACACGTATAATACAATTGAAATATATAAATTACCGAAAAATTAGAAACTGTTCAAATTTGTTATCAGAGGTTCTATAACCTGAAAATTATCAGTAATAAAAGTAAATTACCCGATATTAATTATTGTGGTAAACTTCGTAAAAAGTCTCAGTATTGTTGTATATAGTATAGTGATGTCGTAGTGTTGGCCGTGGTAAGTACATAGGAGACGGTTACCAGTTACCATCAGGCTTTTTACCATTCCAAATACATAAAAATCTTGGAATAGGAAATTACTAGGACATGAAAATTGTTCTCTGAATGGTATCTAATATTTATGATTAATATTTTTCATGTGAAAAATACGACTACTCTTCTCAGTCGAGGTAGAAAGCTATTAGCAACGACGTTACGCTAAGAAAATTTATGATACCTACTTTGCAAGGAAGTGAAATAAATGAAATTATATAATATTCAGTTTCACGTTTTTTATGAAAATATGACAACAACAAAAAAATATTTATTACAATATGTAACTATGACGGATCCGTCGGACTTAATATGAGAATAAGTGTTCTCAGTACCTAGTTAATTAATTCCACACTAATTTACGATGATGATGGTTCTATGATATATTACTGTTTACATTATACCTAACCATATAACCGATGTAGACTTTGCTTTTTTTATATCAAATGTTTTGATTGTAGGGTGAGGCAGGAAATTACAAGATGCATGACATCTTAGTCCTCTGAACAACTCGTGAGTGGTATCACAGATGACAAATGATAACGTGACGTCTGTAGAGCTGTTCATTTATTACTTGTTTACAGAAAAATTAAGTAAGTACAAATCACTATTAAAACTTAGACTTCATTTATATAACAACCTTATTTTATTTTTGCTTTCATATCTGTATTTATATATTTTTTTAAATAAAATTCTTATAAATTATTTTGACGGCATCGGTGGTTGAGCCGTTTAGCAGACCGGTTTCTCCGATGGTCGTGGTTTCGATTCCTCGCAAGGTACAAACATTTGTATTCATGAGCATGATTGTTTGTATCGATCTGGGTATATTTTTCTATGTATATTTGAATGAATTTACAAAAAAATATCTAAGTATTTATAACAGTTGTCTAGTACCCATAACAATAACTCTGCTTAACGCGGAACTAGATGGCGCTGCGTGAATTGTCCAAATGTTATTTATTTATTTATATTTTCACAACGAAACACATTACTTAGCTATTACTTCGTACATTAAACGCTATTAAACTCGTAAAAGGACACCCGGCTGTATATCTCAATGTGGCAATTCACATAATACCTCAGAATACACGTTACCTTTACATAAAGTAAATTGAAATTTGTTTCCTGGTAATAGCCAGTTAATTGGATATATAATAAGATGTTACGACATATTATTGAACAATAATAATGATTATAGGATTTAATTATAATAAATATAGAAATATTTACAGTAACATTACATAATACTGAAGTTTTGTCTGAATGGAACTTATTTTTATTACCAGTTCCCGTAGGAACTTCCAACTCTTTTTTATATAACCGTATAAAAACTTTACGAAGAAATTAAACGAGATTCTAATATTTCATGTCAACTCTTTTGTTGAGATAATTTAATCTTCATGTTAGCAAGAATAAATTTGTTTTAAGTATGTATGATGTTCTATTCCAATAAATAATTAGTTATTACGTTATAAAGCCATTCAATACTGATGTCCCGAAAGTGCCACACGTACTAGGGTAATATAACTACAAAGTGATCACGAACTTCTAAGTTATGAACTGGAGTTACAACCTTGTCCCGTATACATGGCTGAGTATTAGACGCTAGGTTGATAATATTTCAGCATACCGGCTCCCCCACCGGGTATGCTCTTAAATAATTCATACCACCTACACGATCTTAGGAAACTCTAAGGCGTCTATGTACGCCTGGTACCTCGAGTACAGGAAAAATACCTGTAGACTATAAATTGGCGTGTTTAAATAATATATCTCGCTCGCTACGAGCGTGACATCCCTCGTATTATTAAAGATACCACTCATGTCGTGTTTACTAGCATTGGTTCTTATGAAGTATAAACCATTTCACTATTAATATCCATTACCGAGAATAGACAGCCGCTAAACAATTATATAATCGATTGCGTTAATTGACACGTCAACGCAGAATTATGACATGCGTCCAATCATTATATTCTTTTATATCGATAGCTATAATTACCAAAGGTACCAATTATGTCCAGTTATTGAATAAAACTGATACGCTATCAGTGATTTGTCATTTATAATAATACTTTCATGAAATTATTTTCATAGCAAAGATCGAGGTTTTACTGTGATAGATATACCTTCATACAGTTTGGAGCATCAATTTAAAACTGTAACTAAAATTAAAATTTCTGAATACCTTTTATTGTTGTTGCTTCTTTTTCTAGTTCAATAGCCAGACTGATGTTAATAAATTAAAACAATTTTACTCTTGGGAATCCATAATATTCAAGAGCTATACTTTTAATGTTCCGCACTAGTGCAGTAGCGTAAGCATTTACGAGTTGCAAAATATATTAGTCTCTCAAATAAAATAAACAATTCCATCTACGTTCACACCAGATCCCTTAAGTGCATAATTCCTGCTATATTACTTTCATTAAATTCGTTGTGAGTGTTAGTAAGCTTTAGCGTTCCTCAGGGACGTCGAAGCTTCATCTCATCTCTCATTCTGTACTACTCAATCCACAGTAATGGCTAGTTATACAGGAAACACTGATGTGTATGTGTGGTTGAACTATCTTGTTAGCAGCAATAAGTAGGTATGAATGTAAAATTACTAAAATACTAAACAGGTTAGGTCAGAATTTTATAATAACACATGGAACAACACACAGGGCATTTTAAAATATCCTATCAGCCTTTGTCATAGAAATCATGAAAGAATATTTCAAGCTGATAATGAATGTTTTATATATTATGCATTGATTGAGTGACAACTAAAAACATTTTTAAATATTAAAAAAAAATTGATGAATAATATTTATTATTGTGACAAGGCACAAAAGTATTTATATGCAATTACTTGTATATTATACATGGCTGTTGAAACACTGCCGAAATATCGGGAACCTAATAAAAATAAAACGTGGTAATATCCCGTGATTTACTAATTATACATATACTTGTATATTATTAAGTATATATTACAATAGTAAATTGTAATTCCATCGATTGGTAACATGTTGTTTATAGTGTAAAAATAATGTACTTAATTGAATAAATACAAAAATAATAAATCGATATATTTCTGTTAATGTTCTGTTTTTTTATCATTATTTATTCAAATTATATGCACTGAGTAAGCGAGTGGTAAGGAAGTGTTTAAACATAAACGGTATAACACCGCACAATCCTCATTGAAATTGTGGAAATAATTCAATTCAAACAGTTTTCAGTCGATAGTTCGTTCCTGGCATTAAATAGCTAAAATTTACTTTCACATTTACATTGATTTTGTATGAATAATAAATACAGGTCTGGCATTGCAGCCGTATATAGGTGCCAAATGGACTTGATTTAATTATAATAACAGACTAGCTGACAAACCCAGCGCATATTATTGAGACTTATAAATTATTTTTAGTAAAGGTTTTTCTAGATAGGGTTCTGAATATCAACTAGATGCATAAAAAATAGGCTACGACGTATTTTCAAACTTATGCAATAATTTCATACAAATAAGTCAAGCAATATATACCTATATAAGTGAACGCATTTGTTGTCACTTTTGTCGTATTTCTTGTTATTTTCATGATGAACATGACATGAAGAGGATAGAATAAAAGAAACCAGATAATGTAAATGATTATAAATCATGAAAATTCTGTACAGCATTGACTTAGTTTGAGTAGGTAAGCCTTCACTATACACAAAAAAAAAAGAAAGTCTTTTAGTACCTACTGATTTCTCAAAAGCCCTCCTACTAAATCTGTACAAGATAAATTTATGCTACATATATTTTTTTATGGACACTTACCAGTTGCATCGTTGTTGTTGGTCGTAGACAGCGCTGGCCCAGATTTTGGGGTACTAGTGGTTCGAGATGGTTGCGCGCGGCGACACGGAGGGGTACATTCCGGACCACGCTAAACAAAAAAAGATGAAATTATAAAAACTATTATGGCACAATACAGTTTATATATACCAGAGGTAGAATATACACAGCCGTCTGCATGGGTCTCTCAGTCTCACTTATTTCAGTCTCAAGCAGCTTGCTTTGTTTTGTTTTAGTTTTGTTTATAAACCGATTGGAATAAAAACTTAAAGAAATACTAAACTTTAAGTAAAATTTACAACAATACATTACTTAATGAAATCGTTGTGCATGCTATTCTCAAAAAACGGACACTTTTAACGATCATTGTTTTAGATTCTATTACGTGGATAGAGTTCTCCAATACCTAATAACTTTTCTAAAATAAGTATATTTTATGTACAAACAGCTAGCGAGAGAAAATACTAAATTGTGTGCAGTACATTGAATTTAAAATTGTTGCATCTTACCCAGACAAGTGGCAAACGAATATATCGATTGGAAGCATTCGTTTCAGTAAGTATAAAATACTCATAGAACAAACCAGCAATATTGGGTGTCTTGATCTTTCTTACGATAGATTCTATTGTTATAGTCACAAATTATTTCGCAGTGGTATGCCATTCAGAAATAGGCTACATATGTTGATATACATACAAAACTCTCGAAGTTATACCTAAGCTCCCAGGTAAAGTCAGGGCGGTTATAACGGTAATAATCGGTTAACAATGAACGTTATGTTATCAAATATCCAATCCGTTCAATGCAAATATTATTCAATGAAAACTCCAGGACCTTGGCATTCAGCTGATTGGGGGCATAACTGCATAACGTCTACAATAAATTCACTGCGCAAACATAGGGCAAACTGCTTTAAATATTTCCAACCTTGTCATATTTACCGTTCAGTTAGGGTGCCTGCGTAATTAAATTAGGTTTTTAGGGTAAAATGCTTTCAACCTAATAATTTCTCAGGTCAATTACTACAGTGTAAAATATTATGCATATAATAGTAATATAGTTTAATATTTTTTACAATCGAATACACTTACCATTTTAACTTTATACTCCTTGAAGTAAATACGCATATTGATCACAGTTATTTATTTACTCATGTATTTTATGAATTACATAAGAAACATGAGTATATATAGGATTCAATTAGAGCTATTATAAATAACAATTAATATTCGAAACTAAAACTGCAGCCAGACAATATTAAAGTAATTTTAAATTGTTATAAGTGCAAGAGATATTAACGAATGCAAGAAATAAATTCTCACTAACATCAGATATAAGATAAAATATAATAATAAACTAGTACTATGATCATAAATGTGATTACACTACAATGTGTTTGTTTCTCAACATCAGTTACCTCTTATCGTTCAAACAGTTCAACGAAACGTCTCCAAGTAAGATTTTTTTAAAGTTAGGCACAGAATTAGAGTTATCACTCAATACGAGAGAGATTAGGCTTATTTTTATCCCAGTCAATTGATTGTATTTTTAGCCGCGCATTTGCAATAAAAATATAACAGATGAATAGAACATATGATAGACTGAGACTGATTAAAAATAAACTTCTAAAAAAATTTACAGGGAAGTAATTTCTATCAACAACTAAAAAGTATGACCACAAATAATAAAAGTTGTCGCGTTGGAATTAAAAATAACAAATTACCGTAAAATATAATTAGAAATCCAATACCAATAATGAACTAATTCAGCAGACTAGACAGTTTATAACTCAACATAATAATATATTAAGTAAAAAATTATCAATTTATTGAACTAGACATTACAGTGGATTTTATACATATAAGATTTTACATAAATTGCTTTTCTAGTAGTATTTGTATTAAGCGTGCGGCCTGTATTATCAGGTGATTGATTAAATTTTCCAATCATTCATAACTATGTAGTACATATTAATACACTTTAAGTGACAGGCTGTCAAGTATATCTAATCAAGTAATTACCCCTTACCTATTCATTAAAATGTTAATCTAATCAACTGATTAAGGCGACTTTCCCTGCGCGAAACTGTTGTCTACTGTGCCCATGGAAATATTCTTTGTGCACGCTAAATATGCTTATTTTTATTTTGGAGATTAAGTTTTCAATTTGTAGCCCCTGATATAGGCAATGCTAATAATAATAGGTAAGGTTTTTTATACGTAAATTGATAATTCTTTTTAGCCGAGTATGAAGAGGTACCTAGGTTTGTGAGGTTGTAAGAGCATAATCTATAAATCTATTGAATCGATTTTATTTTAGTATTGGATAGCCTATTTATAGAGGAAGGCTATATAACATAACTTTACAACAGCGGAGCTGCAATGAAAAATGTAGCAAAAACCGGGGGAATATGACGCACACGAAGTAGCACGAGTCATACAGTTAGTTAAGAAATAAAACCTTTATTACTTATATAACGTAAATAATAAATTCTTATATGATTAATTATATTGAACACGGAAATGATTCATGTAAAAGCTAATTTTCTAACCACTATTAATTATACCTATAGTTAATAAGATAGATATAAAATTCTTATAAAACATTAATGTAAACATTGTTTATTTTAGTTGGCTTTGTTTTTAGTGACAATTTATTTTCTATCTCTAGTGAAAAAAACACTACACAACAAAGTATTTTTAGTCTAAACAATGCCCTAACATTAAATAAATAATAGACGATAGAAATGAAAAATTATAAATATTTTAAATATTTCGATGTTTGTCAACTAAATCCCTACTCAATCAGCAAAAACGCTCCATGAATAAAGATGAAAAAAAGATTTATAGGCCACTTAGTATCAAATAACACAAAAAATATTTTTATATCGAAAACAGCTGGTGTTCACATGGCGTAAGAATCATCATCATCATAAATAATGGCGAAGAAAACCCGAGTTACTTAACTGAAGCTTAAAACAACGGAATGCAGGTCGACAATTAACATAATACCTTTTAAAAATACGAAATTTCCTTCACGGAATGGTAAAAAAAAACATGGTATTTTCCAGCTAATCTTATCGGATATCCGTAGTAATTCCGCAACAAATACCAATCTGGATTAAAAAGACAAAGATTATAATCCAAATTCAAATAGAAAAGCAACAATTTAATATGAAAAGAAGAATATACATAGGTATATTGCTATAATTAACGTTCTTATTTATTTAATTACAATATAATATTGATAAAAAGAGTCAATTATATTGATTCACTGTCTCACAGTTTACTTCAATTATTTTTTAATATAAGCGGATTACTAATTTTGTATAATTTTCAAAATTCAAAAATATCTTTATTCATGTATGTGTGTGTGATCATGTCTTATTATGTGTCAAATCTACCATCAGTTCGGAATGATTTTAAGATGAGAATAAGTGAGAAACTTAGCTCGTATTCTTTAAAAATAAATGTTGTACATGTTTTGATAATACAGATTTATTTTGAAATTCATACTTGCGAGAATAGAGTGACCACCAGCATATGCTATTGCAAAAGCAAACAGTCTAATCAGTGTTTATAACCCGAACAGACCAGTCCCCACAAGCAGCACCGGTTCACGAGTATGACGGAACATAAATTTACATTACTGGCGACTCTAAGTAACATAAACAATGAGATATTTGTAAATTCTTCATTTGTAAGTAACTATTTGATTTTAAAAAATAGATCAATAACAATAGAAGCCACCTTATTTGGAAACGAATAACTAGATCTAGATTTAGACCACAAAGCACCAGACAGCCTTCGAGGAGCAGATAGAATGTCGTTCTAGGTAAGCCGATAACACAACTCCTACGTGATGTAAATTTGTCGCCGAAGTACTCAAGTATGCCACCGAATAAATTTCAATGAATTGTGTCAATATAAGTTTAAATATAAACCGTACTGAACAAGTAACTATTAAAAAAAATAGAACTAGGTTTATTGTCATGTTCTCAATTTCGTTAAGATCTATTCAGATATTTAGTATTTTTAAAAGGTAACAAACTGACAATTACATTGTCCATATTATATATTTTAGTTAGTGGAATGTTAAACAAGCCGACAGAAACCCATAAACCATCTGATGGAAAGTGGTAACAGTCACATATATACATGAACAGTGAAGTACTTCGGAAATCATGCTCGTGGTACCTCACGATTGGCTAATGCGATGTTTGTCTAAAACTTTCATTTCATAGTTATTAGACAAAAAAATAGTAGGTACCTATAGGTTTGCATTAAAATAAATCCAATTGTAAATGAAACCGCCAACCATTTAAATAGACAAAATATGTACGTGATCCCGATCGGTTATTGAATAAATATATAATATTCCATATTAGATTTATATTAGACAAAAGTGAACTTTATTGAACTGCAAAAAAGTATACATCATAAGTATACGGTATTTTGTAGGGAAAAATATTGCGTAGTGGCACCTATGTACGACACCAGAGTCGTTTGCGTGCCTCTGTCTGAAATAGGTAATTATAACCACAAAACATCTTGCTTTCTAAGGTGTGTTTCGATGGGATGGACGGGAGATGGAATAGATAGATGAAAGATATGGCAGTGACATTACGAAGCATGGGAATAACATTTTAGTCCTCCAAAGTGATGTGTTGTACCATGTTACATAATGATGTGATGACCGTTTTATCGGAAATAATACAGGCGCCATATTTGCCATTTCTGTTAGCATAAAAACCACACCTACAGTCGAGATTCTGCGTTTTGCTATGTCGCCCTGACTAACTCTTGATGGGCGGATAATTCCTAGTAAACAAAATATTTCATTAAAGCTTCGTAGAAATATGAAGGTCACTTAAATAATAAACAACAACAACAACAGTATATAAGCTCGAAAGCTAACATTTCATATTAAATCGAAAATCTAATTAGACACGAAATTCCTTGTACAAGCAAAATATATTAAGTGCAAATTGTAAGCAATTTAAAATTGACTATAGCGAAATTATGTTCAATAGTAAAAACTGAGCACAATTTTCCTGCTTTTCCTGTTGACTAACTTCGTTAACAGTTTATT